GGAACAAGAATAAAAGCAATGGTCGATCAACGTGCACACATGACTTTGGGACTGCCGTGACGACCACTGATATCAAGGGTGAGTCCGGAAGCGAACCGAGTTGCCGGCACTGGCAGATGGTCATCACACGAGGTCCACCAATCCAACGAACGTCCACTTCGTGAGAAGCGTGGTACCGGTAAAACAGACCAGTGGCCACGCTGTGTAGTTTCTGCCCGCTCCTGCACCGTTCAAGATATATATATATGGAAAGAGTCTGTTGCAGACTTCAGTTGTTTTCTGCTGAATCTCAGGCTCTGGCACAGGATCGGGAACTTCTGCCGCGTCCGCAACCTGAAAGGAGAAGCCCCCATAGAAGATGGAAGAAGATACAGCAATCGCTGCAGCCTATGAAAGTCACGAGAACCTCTCGGCAGATGTCAGTCTCTGTTATACATACCAGGTTGTTCGATGAAAGCCGTGACGTGAAATAAGGTAAATACTAGTCGACTTAAAGTTTGCACGTCGTAACGCCCTCACCGATGCTGCTAACCTACCGAATAAAACGAGTAGTCAGTGGCTGCGTGAACGACTGAACAAAGACATACCTTTCAGGACGTAAAATTCCCGCAACGCGTCGCTCATTTTACACACTGCCTCGTTGTATCGATGACAGACGTAAAGGATTTGCCGCTTTTTGGCTGAAGTACTTTTCAGCTCTCTCCTTTTCGAAAGACCTCCTGCATAGTCGGTCAAAATGCCTTCTGATCCTGTCGTTTCTACCAGCGATGTCTTAACTTCACACCCGTTCACCACCTTGACACTGTCATATGATCGCATATAGTGACACATTTGACGCAGTTCAACCTCATTTAATTTTTTCAAATTTCTTGAGAAACAGCATACGCACAGTCACCCATTTTTGGATTACATTATCGTCATTTTGAATTCTTCAGAATCTGGTCATTCCGGTTTCTGCGTGCAATTAATTCTTGGCTTATGAACGCAATTCGGCAAACAGACTACCAGCTTCGCGACAAAATTAATACGTTATCACATACCAATATCAAATGAAATCCTCATGCTGGCGGCAAGATCACTTCAAATAATTTCGTTATGCTTATCATACTGCACGAATTGCGTTCTTCATGCAGTTTCTCACCTCTCATGACGCTCCTTGAATAATCGTCACAATCTTGCTCAAAGGCTCAGACAGAAAAGCGACTATTTATGAATTCTACTCATGCTTTCCTCAACAAGGTAGTTTATACTAATTTGATGGAGATACCATCACTTTATTGATGTATTTATTTTTGTAGTTGCACAGATAATGGTAGATAACTACAAGTCAAATCGGACAACAAAATTACCTCGCTTTGGTCTCAAAAGTTTAAATGTTCAACCGACTGGAAATTCATCGCAATTTATTCCTCTTTATAGTACAATGATCAAAATTCGACTAAAACAGAACAACGTGCGTAGCAGCACATTGATTCTTCATACCATCCTTGTTCGTAACAGCTAATCGGCCGACCAATAAACCCATCCGCCAATCCATTCGTCCACCCGTCTCTCTGTCCTGTCGATTCGCGGCCAAATAAAAAAACGAAGCGAGGCGTTCGTCCAGGACGAAAACCATGGCAGCAGTTTTTTAATCACCAACAGATTTCGCTGTCGGTCAACCGACCGGGCAGATAAAAGGACAGACTAGGGGCTCGCTCAGTATAGCTTTAAGACAGAACCCTGCTTCAGAATGGCTTCCTACGGATCGGACTGCCAGCTCGCAGCTACGTGCCATTAACGTGCACGTCGTTGCCGTTACCGCTGATCGGGTTCTGGTTGAGATCGTGTTCAGCTAAAAGAAACTAAAGTAAACAACAAACAAAAACAATACCTATAATGCAACAATCAAACAAAATCGATCTCAACAAACTCACTTGTACTGGTTTTGTTGATGCCTACGCCATAAACGTCGTGTGTTGCTTCATAGTCCATGATTTCCTTGAAGATAAGCTCCTTCCACTCCTCCACGGTATGTTCCTGCTCGTCGATGCCGTGGTCGTATCGCGAAGGCGGGGGCTAGAAAACGAATGAATAAAAGTAGATAGCAAAACTACTCAAATGAATTCATCGCCATCATCAAGCCAATCTCATTAGTTACCAATCTTAAAATCTTTAAAACCAAGATAGGATAAGGAGAAGCATCCATTAGAAGAAGAAAAAAGTACAGACGGCTGTTTTTGGTCATTGTCTGCTTTCCTTGGTCACTCACACTATCTTCCATTTAATATTCGAAAACTCAAGGTAGTCCAATTCATTAGGAGGTTGTCTCCGACGTTTCCAACTGCAGATATTTATATTACACACAAAGCACGCGGAAAACGCATGTAATGCTCATAGTCTTACGCAGACAATCTTCATGTACCACGTACTGTATAATCATTAGCATGCATAAAATGCGAACCTAAAACTACAAAAATACAATATTCACCATCACACAGCGCACGAACATGTAACATATGCCACATTATATGACCGCGCAATACTCAGAACGTAAAACGCAGGTTATTCCATGTCTACAGTATACAAACTATATACATAATGCGAGACCTCTTACAGAACAAAACAACTTACGGCGTTGACTTCCGCCTCATCGAACCACACGTTAACGTACGGGTGCTGCAGTGCTTCGTCAACGGAAATGCGGTGTTCTGGGTCTATGACAAGCATCTTCGACAAAAGGTCCCTCGCTTTGTCGGCTATAAAAGTGGGCCTACGGTACTACAGTATAGTAGTAAATATTGCATTTTAAAATACAACAGTATCATCACATTAAATTTAGGTACAGTAAACTGATACTACGCACTAGCGGTATCATGTGTTATACTAGAGCATTCAATGTTGCATCCAAATATAGAAGCGAACTATTTCACGGTATAAATAATCAGGGATATAAAGGTATATATAATGTGCCTATTATTTTACAACACTCATTCCGGTTGAAAACAATATGGCATGCCTAAATATACCAGTAAATATCATACTGACAGCTCACGGATAAAACATTAGAATCAAGTAGGAGTAGGTTACAGTATGAAAAATTCATACCATTCCTAGATTTTTAAACTGCGTGCCTACTGTGCAAGGCTTCCCTAACGTTCCTGATCCATGAGTTGTTTTCGGTCTTCAGGAGATCACACGAAAAGCCGGCCTAAGCCGACTAAGAACCCGCGTATAGAGGAGTCTGCCAGTGTTCGCATCGATCTTAATGTCGATGCTCACCTACGGTAGTCATGAACCATGAACCATCACTAAAAAATTCGATTTGGCCTATAAGCGGCTAAAATGGGATTTCTGAGACGAATCGTTTGGCTCAACCGTCTAGACATGGCTTGGATCTCAGAA